GTTGTCCTATCAAGTGTTCGATATGTGTCCAACAAGTGTCGGAGTGCCCAAGTGTTTGACACGGACACACTAGTCAAACTAAAGTGTCCATGCTTCTTAGTCTATAATTGGGGACAATGCCTTGTATATACTTTTTCAAGGGTAAAAAATTGAAAATGTCCAGAGTTTTCAACGTGTTATTTGATCTTTAGTTTTCATTCTTGTAATGTAAACTTTGATTGCTGTGATTAGTTTTCATAGTTCAAATTTAATTTATAATATTAGTCGTGCTGACATTGGTGTTAAAAATAAATTTTAGTATGTAACCTCGCCCCCTTTCGATAACTTACCTGAGGAAGTTTACCCCCCTGAGATGTAGGAGGTATAAGTAAAAAGTTATAGTTTTAACCATGCATCCAAGAGTTTAGAGTTTATAGCAAGACCTTGTAGATTGATTCAATCTTTGTTTTATACGCGACTACTTGAAATGTAATTTGTTATCCTCTACAGAAAAGAAGTTCGACGAGATCCCAAGAAAAAACACATGTTCGTGTTCCATATTGTAGGAACGTCGAATCAATGGTAAGGAAGTTCTGACGTTTGCTAAGGGGCTGGTACCAGCCAGCCTAATGAGGTCACATAAATGTGTAGCATGCAATAGAGAATAATATCACTGTATAACAAAGTTCCTGTGCCTGATTAATTACATGGTTCATTTCAGGTCGATCCTGCGTGACATGAATTATATATATATATATATATATATATCGAATGAATCTATAGAATGAGTAGTAGTCTGAAGTATGTAATGGTGGTGGTTTCGATTGTTTCAAAATTATTTTTACAGAAAGAAATGAGGGGTCAACTTGATCCTGAGATTTGTAATTTGTAATGTCATACGTCAAAATTCAGCCTGTGTAAACACTAAACTGGACTGTCCCATGATTTCTACAATTAATGTTTTGGAGTATTGAAGGTTGGAGTGTGTTTGTGATATATTGCAATTATGATTGGGGTCGGATTTTATAGAAGTTTGAAATATCGTTGAACTTTGCTGTCTGTATCTATTTAGTTTCTTAAAATTTAAATTTTAAATATCGTTAATTTTTTTTTAAAAAATATTTATGGATCTAATATTAAATGAAATTGATATTTTTAAGTCTAATGGACATAGAATTCATATTTATATTTAATAGTTGAGTTAATTTTTAAAATTTAAAAGGACAGGTGTAAAATTGAAAATGTATGAATTTATTAGATTGAATTTGATATCAATGTTATTGTATGCTAATTTAGTGAATAGGTCGAAATTTTTATTAGTTTGATTATCACATCTTTTAAACATTGGGAATAAATAAGCATATGTTTAGCCAAAAGTCTATCATGTGAATTGCTTGTGGAGAACTAATAAAAATTAGTATTGTTTGGTTTAAAATGTTACTAGTTTTTTTTAATATAATTAAAGAATCAAAATTAATAAAAGCAAATAGTAGTTCTAAAATTTAAGGAAAAAAGGAAAAGAAAGTTGTTAATAATTTCAAGAAAATAATTAATTTATTCTATAAGTTGATGCTAAATTAATCATTAGTGTTAATCTAATCTTTTCTAGTATGCCAGACTTGATTTCTTTAGATGCTCGTACTATGATATGAAAAGGAAATGATAGAATATTAAATTATATACTAAGATATAAAAAGAAAAAAATAAGTATGATATTTGTTTTAAATAATACTGAAAACTCACTAAAAATGAGAGAAAACCTATACAAACTCGGGAAGTAATTAAAACTAAGAGTCAAATATCTCATCAAAATGCACTCTATACTCATCTCGAACGACAAAAATAATTAATCAAGTATGACAACAGGTTTTCTAACAAGTCTTGCAAAAATTTGTAGCGTTTTACCGTAAGGGCGAGTCACCGGGCGGGTGAATGGCATAGGCATTTTAGTGCCCTGTTTTGCTCTAGCAGGCTCGACCAACTACCATTCTCAACCGTTCAGATTCCTCCAATTCTTCACCCTTTAAGATCAGTTTTCGGAAGAAGGTCCTGGGTCCAAAATCTTGATGGCTATCCCTAACCCCACACCACATCACGAGCTGCATAGTCTTTTTCCAGTGGCTCAAAGTCTATGCTACAATCGGCTGTCAATCTTTACCATTCAATATTTTCAACCATCAGCCATCAGCCATCAGCCATGTTTCCATGTTTTTGAGCTTTTGGGTTTTGGGGATTGCTGCAATTGTCAATAACACTGTTTCATTCGATCTAAATGATGTGATTTCTTCCTCCTCTGATGCTCAATGGTCTAGTTATGTTTGCTTGTGTAAGATCTCATGTCGGTTTGAGAGGGGAACGAAACATTTTTTATAAGAGTGTGGAAACCTTTCCCTAGTAGACATATTTAACACTATGAAGCTGATGGTGATACGTAACGGGCCAAAACAGACAATATCTACAAGCGGTGGGCTAGGACTGATACAATTTGGCTCCATAGACATTGGCTAAGACTACAACCCCATAATTGGCACCGACCCAAGCTTGAAAACTTGATGCAAATTGCTGTCTGAATCTCCTTCAAGCGATTGAGGTGTAGAGAGGCCTTTTCTTTTACAAGAGAGGCATGGAATTGACACCTAGAAAGAACACAGGAGAAGGGTGTAAATCATCTGGAGACAATGCAATGAAATGCAGCCCGTGTGTGTGTTGGTTGGCTCTTATTTTGAAATAGGTAGCTCTACTAATAGTGTTTAGCTGGGTTGGACCCTGGAATCAAGCAGCAGAATCAGCAATAATTCTGCCAAAAGAATCTACTTTCTTCTCTTTCCTACACATCAAGTTCACATGCAGACTGACAAAAGACTATCACATGTCTTTGTTTCTTGTGAAAATGTTAAATGACCTTCACTTTCCCCCCTTTGCTTTCAGTTAATATCCATACTCATCCAACTACTGAAGCAGTGAAGCTCGTTACTTACATTACTACTCCTCCCACTCCACCCTTCATCGCATATCCTGATATGCATTGAACATCAGATAGGCACTTCTTTCAAAATTTCGCCATGAATCTGATTCTACTCTTTGTCTTAGCTTCCTTGGTTTCAAGTTCCCTTGTGTTGGGAATTCAGGCTGCTCATTCCCACCACTCAAGAATATTTTCTCAGATTACTGTTATGGGCCTTGTTTATTGTGATACCTGCTCCAACAATTCCTTCTCCAAACACAGTTACTTCTTATCAGGTAATGCCCTAATTCATTTCTTCATACCAAGTAGTTACTCGAGCAAGCTAAAGCTCAAGTCCTGAGGTCAACAAATTGAACCTGGACGAGACTTCAAATGGCAGAACTAGTGTCTAAGTGTTGCATAGTCTTCTTCAGCGTTTTGATTTTGAGTTTGAACTTTTTCGTTTTCGCAGCTTTGATGTTATGGTTGGAATTGAATGTCTACTCTGTTGCGTTCTTGTGTGGTTTCTAACGAGATTCAAGTGTTCTGTTGAGTAGATTTTTTAGTAACCTAATTTCAAAAATAGCATTGATTCAATTCAACCACTTATTCAAAGAATGATTGAGAAAATTGATTTGTTTATAAACGAAACAAAAAATTAAACAGGTGCAGAAGTTCGAATCGACTGCAAATTAAAAGCAGAAACGCCGCGTACAGCGGAGCAAATAGCATTCTCAGTGAACAGAACAACAAACAAAAACGGAGTTTACAAATTGGAAATACCTTCAATGGACGGAATCCGATGTGCAGAGGATTCCTCAATGGTGTCGTTCTGCCAAGCGAGTTTGATGGGGAGTTCGTCGTCTGCTTGCAACGTTCCTGGATACAAAAGCACATCGGGAGAAATTTCAATCAAATCGAGACAGTCAAACGTTTGCATTTACAGCTTAAACCCGCTGAATTACAGGCCATCAACAAGAGACGATATCTTGTGTGGTAATTAACAAGAAAATGGAAGAAGAAGAAGAAGACGAAGAAGAAGAAGAAGATTACCTTTTGATCAACCTTGGATTGGAATATGTGATTTTTGTTTTTCAGTCGGGATTTCACAAATTTCTGTGTAATGTTTTTGTATAGTTTTGATCCGCCTTTCGGAAGTTCGTCGTCTGCTTGCAACGTTCCTGGATACGAGTTTCTTGTGTCTATTAGATTTTAGCTATAAAAAAATATTTATATTTTACTAAAAAAATTACCAATTTTGTGTAAACAAAATCCAACCAAACTGGAAATCGTATAATTAGATAACATAGATCCAGGCCCATGTCCAGGTCCAGCCCATACTTTTTCATTTAGAAGCCCAATAGGCCCAGGTCCAGATCATACATTTCCATTCAGAAGGCCAATAGGCCAAGGTTCAGCCCAATCGGCTCAGGTCCAGATCATACTTTTCAATTCAGAAGCCCAATAGGCCCAGTTATAGCCTATACTTTTCCATTCAGAAACACAACCGGCCCAGGTCCAGATCATATTTTCCATTCAAAAGCCCAATGGGTCCAGGGCCAGCCCATACTTTTCCATTCAGAAACCCAATCGGCCCAGGTCCAGCTCATACTTTCCATTCAGAAGCTCAATAGGCCCAGGTCTAGCCCATACTTTTCCATTCAGAAGCCCAATCGGCCCAGGTCCAGCTAATACTTTCCATTCAGAAGCTCAGTAGGCCCAGGTCTAGCCCATACTTTTCCATTCAAAAGCCCAATAGGCCCAGGTCCAGACCATCATTTTCCATTTAGAGGCCCAATCGGCCCAGTTCTAGGTCCAGCTCATACTTTTCCATTCAGAAGCCCAATAGGCCCATGTCCAGCTCATACTTTCCCATTCAGAAGCCCAACCAAGGTCCAGATCCAGCTCATACATTTCCATTTAGAAGCCCAATCGTCCAAGGTCCAGGTCCAGCTCATTCTTTTCGATTAGAAGCCCAATAGGCCCAGGACCAGGTCCTACTTTTCCATTTAGAAGCCCAATATATCTGACCCAGTAGCCCATAAAATCCGCGAAAACATAATCCCATCTTGTTCTTATTTTGCCCTAGCCGTCAGCTTTCTTTCCCTCTCTTTTCTTCACGCTACTTCGTCGCCGCTTATTTATATTTGATCCCTCCTCGGACTCTGCCTTTCACCACGATCGCGGAAAATGGTACGAATCTCCTCTCTCTTGTTTCAGTTTACTAGCTTGGTTTCGTCTTGTATAGTTTCGGATTTAATCTTTTGTTTTCAGATGCGTGTGTAGAATCGATTCATGAATGTGTTTTTGGTTGGTCCCCTGTTCGTAGATGATATTTCGATAACTCAACCTGAAAAAAAAACCTGTATTATGGTTGCACGTCTGATGCGCTTTCTGGGTCTCAGTTTTGAAACCATCGAATTGGGTTATAGTAGTTGTTTGGGCCATCGATATTCGGACAAAATGAAGCATCTTTACTTGCTTTTTAAATCACGAGGTTTTGATCAATGAACCTGTTTGAACTGCTTCTATTTGAACCAGTTTTTGGCTTTCGTTGATTTTGTTAGCTTTACTGCCTTGTATTTTTTTTTTTTTTTCTGTTTTACCCATTTTGTATTCTTTCATGGACTCACCTTGTTTTCTGGCATTTACTATGCAGTAGCATATCCTAATTTCGTTATTAATATTTTATTACTAAATGAAGTTCGCTCTGTATATTGATTCCACCCGTTATAGTTATTAGTTATTATGTATACTTGTAGAAATATTTAGTATATTTTCATAAATCCGCATTATCGGTATTATATACTTCTTGCGTAGGCCATTAAGCTGAGCCTGAAGAGACTTTAACAGAAATTGTTGATGTAGTGCTGTAAATGTAGTAGCAGCTATACTGATAACATGAGCAGTAATAGTCTTGAAAGTTGTTAGATCCTGTATAAACATTGATAACGTTACGTTAAGGGCATAGAATTGTGTTCACATTCCTTGCTAGAATTGTATTATTCTAATGAACCCATAAATGTAATAAAATATGACAGAGGCACCAATAGGCATTACTGCTTTTGAGGCGCAACAAAAATATGAATAATATTGTACGATATTGAATTTGTCTTGAAATGTTTTCCTTTCCTGCTTTCAAAAGTCTAGGAGAGATCGATGTCTACTTATATAACTTACTACTTCAAATCCCTTCCCCTTCACTTCAATTTTTCCCAATGTCATGATAAGTGATTCCTTTTCCTTGCATTATATGTTATTTGTTCTTTTTAAGATTTTTTTAGAAGTTTTGCTTCTTTGACTGAAATGAAATATACTGACATCATTTTATTGTATTATTAAAAGGCACCAAAGAAGGCTGTTGGAAAAGCCTTGGCAAAAAAGAAGCCGGTAAAAGATTCTTTCCCTCGATACATGTCCCATGCTTTATTATCGTTCTTGTTTCTTGGCTGCTTTTGTTTAATACAGTGTTGTGGTGTTAGCAGGAGAAGGTGGTGAATCCACTATTTGAGAAGCGTCCGAAGCAATTTGGAATTGGTGGGGCATTGCCGCCAAAGAGGGATTTGACACGGTTTGTTAAATGGCCTAAAGCTGTTCAAATTCAGAGGAAAAAGAGGATTCTTAAACAGAGGTTGAAGGTTCCACCAGCTTTGAACCAGTTCACTAAGACCCTTGACAAAAATCTTGGTAATGTCAACGATTGTGCAATCAGAAAAAATTCTCATGTTGAATCCTCATACATTTTCAAGCTTGAAATTCTTTAACTATCAGCTTTTAGACTTTCATTGTTTTGTAGTTCTGTAAATTATGATTTTTAACCATCTTGGATATGAGGTTCCGTTGCCTATAGTAATGTATTTTGTTTTCCTTTTCTTTGTTTTTGTAAATAAGATGTCTTTTTTGCTGTCTTTTCTGCTCATGCTCTTTGGTCAGCTGGAAAAATGTAATAGATTCTTAACTCGTTTCAATAGATGTTTGGACGTATTTCATTTGGGTTTTCATTGAATTTTATGGTTACGGTGCCTTTAATTTTTGTTTATCTTGGTTGGGAAGTATTCATTGTGTTGGTTCTAAGTTTAATATCTGCCATGTATATGCAGCGACAAACCTGTTCAAGATGCTTTTGAAGTATAGGCCGGAGGACAAAGCACAGAAAAGGGAGCGTCTTGTAAAGAGAGCTCAGGAAGAGGCTGAAGGCAAGGCACATGATGCTAAAAAACCTATTGTTGTGAAATATGGTCTCAACCATGTTACCTACCTCATTGAGCAGGTGTTATTTTATTCCATAACTGTGAAGGTTTACTCAACCTTGTCGCTCTCTGAACTTTTTTTTTTTTTTTTCTCAGAACAAAGCACAGCTGGTTGTGATTGCACATGACGTGGATCCAATTGAGTTGGTTGTTTGGCTCCCAGCCCTTTGCAGGAAGATGGAAATCCCATATTGCATTGTGAAGGGAAAAGCACGATTGGGAGCGGTAACTACAGCCCTCTATTTGTTACAAGTCCCAATCTTTTTAAGTCAATCGATGTACCAATGCTCGTAACTTTGCCTTTCTAACAGATCGTCCATCAAAAGACTGCATCAGTTCTGTGCTTGACGACTGTAAAGAATGAAGATAAGTTGGAGTTCAGCAGGATCCTTGAAGCTATTAAGGTGATTTACATAAAGACTTTCGATCCATCCCGACTAATATCGTATCTCATTAGTTTAGTTTTAATCAATCTCTTCCCTGTCTTTGGTTTTAGGCAAATTTCAACGACAAATACGACGAGTACAGGAAGAAGTGGGGAGGAGGAATCATGGGCTCTAAGTCACAGGCTAAAACTAAAGCCAAGGAGAGGCTGCTCGCCAAAGAAGCTGCTCAAAGAATGTCTTAACTTGAAAAAAAACCATGGAGACTAGGTGTTATTATTTTTGGTTCGTTAGTTTCTTCAGCATCCGAATTTTGAAGTGTTTTTGTTTACTTATTATTTGCTGATTTCGGATATAGTTTTGATGTAGCGCAGACCCTTCCCCTTTGTTATTCATATTATAATGTAATTTCAAGGGAGTTTTTCTTTAAATCATTTTTGAGGAAAATGGAATACTATATTATATTTATTCATGTTTGTAATTTTGCGTTATAAAAGTTTTAAAAAATGTTGTTTAAATCCAAAATTTTAAAACGATATTAAAAAAAATATCCAACCTATTTAAATCCATTTTGATTAAATGCGAAAAATATAAAACAAAATTCAAATCAGTATATTGGTCCTCGAAATTTTATTTGAAATTACTTTCAATTTTTATTTTCAAAATTTTATTTAAAATTACTTTTTAATTTTGGGTTATTATTAGTTAATTAATTTTTTAATAAATATTAAATATTTTTGACTCTAAATTTGTAATTTTATAAAGTTGAACCCTGGGTTTAAATAATTTGAAGATTTTTCCTTGATTTAATTTGTGTTTTAACCCACAAAATTTAACAAAATAAATAAATAAATAAATGGTTTTTTTTTTAATACTTGAGTTGTTTTATTGCTAAATATATGAAAATGTTGACAAAAATATATCCAAAAGAAAAGAAAAAAGTCAAAATAGATGGGGTGCCTTGTTGTAAGCCAGCTTAGAATATGTTCCAAATTTGAAGTGCCTCATTTCAATTTAGTGTTCTTCCCCCTTTCATTTCCTCTTCCCATTGCCCAACTTTCCTTTCTCATTTTCTGCTCCATCTGAAGCCTTCATTTCCTCTACCCACATTCTTAAATGCCTTCCTTCACGTAATTCCTCCATACCCATCTCTTCTTCTCTTCTTGATCAACGCATTTTCACTCTCCCTCTACATTTCTCTCCAAATGGGTTCGATTATAATGGAACCTGACGACGTCGCCGCCTACATCAGCGGCTGTGACAGCCACAATACCCTCAAAAACATCACCAGAATCTGTACATTTGCCGACCGGATTCACTCCACCGGCGTTTTCTCCGGTGTAAACCCTTTGGAATTCTCTGTTCCTCTTCTGTTCTTACAGCTTGGACTCAGTGCTGGAACTATCATCTTGTTCTCTATGCTTCTCAAGCCCCTCGGCCAGCCCCTCATCGTCTCACAAATTCTGGTAACGCCTCCTGTTTCTTCTGTTCTTGATTTGTAATGAATGAAACGTTCTTCTTATTAGTTGTGACTGGTGGCTTGATTTTATCAGGGCGGTGTAGTTCTAGGTTCTTCGGGTTTAGGCCACTTGGGGAGATTTAGAGAGGTGATTTTCCCTCTCAGAGGGTTCGTTGTTCTGGATGTGATTTCTGCGCTTGGCCATGTTTTTTTCTTCTTTCTGATTGGAGTTCAAACGGATATCTCGTTTGTGAAGAAGATTGACAAGAAAGCATTTGCTATTGGATCTTGTTCTGTGATTTTGTCTATGATTCTTTCCACAATTTACTCCATAACCTTGGTTAACATTGTTGATATCCAAACGGTCAAATACCTTTTCGCCATTGGTGGCACAGAGTCCTTTATCAACTTCCCCATGGTTGCTTCCCTTGTTTCTGAGCTTCATTTGATAAACTCTGAGTTTGGGAGATTTGCTTTATCAACTGCCATGGCTTCCAATTTCTTCAGCATATGTCTTGCATTACTAGGAGCTCTGTTGACTCCTCAAGATGAGGGCAAATATCAGACCATATCCACACTTTATGCTTCTTTGATGCTTGTAGCTGTCATCTTTTTTGCTATTCGGCCTACCATTGTGTGGATGATTAAGAAGAATCCGATTGGACAGCCATTGAAGGAGTGCTTTGTGGTTACATTGCTTTTACTGGTGTTGGTAGTTGCCTTCTGCTGCCAGGCCTTGGGCTTGCATATCTATACTGGTCCTCTTTTTCTTGGAGTTACAATACCTTCAGGACCTCCCATTGGATCAGCATTGGTGGACAGGCTTGATTTCATCACTTCCTGGGTTTTCATGCCCATCTTCTTTGTCAAAATAGGCTTGGCTGTCAATATCTACGCTATCAAACTCATAAATTTCTTGTGCATGTCGTTCATTGTCTTTGTTAATGCATTGGGAAAGTTTTTGGGTGCCCTTCTCATTTCAACTTACTTCAAACTATCTATGAGAGACGCTGTATCGCTCGGCCTCATCTTGAATTGTCAAGGAGCTCTCGAGCTTGGTGTGTTTAAAATAATGAGGAAGGAAAAGGTAGGAATAGACTTTTCTCGTTGATCATCAGTATTTGATTGTATCTTATCATTTCTCACGAACTCATAGCTAGTTTGTTTTTGGAATCCACGCAGTTGATAAATGATGAAGCGTTGGTAGTTATGTGCGTATGGGTGATGGTTGTAGTTGCAATTATCTCTCCGATAATAAGACATCTCCTTGATCCTTCAAGAAGGTTTATAGTTCATAAGAGAAGAACAGTGATGCATTCGAGACCGGAGTTTGATCTTTGTGTGTTAGTTTGCATTCACGACCAAGAAGATGTTCCAAGTGCCATTAACCTACTTGATGCCTTGAATCCGACTAGACGAAGCCACCTTGTTGTGTATATCCTTCATCTTGTCGAGCTTCTTGGTCGTGCTCACCTGGAACTCATATACCACAAGCAAATGGAGGTAAGGACTTCAAGGTCATGCTCCTCTATACCTATTGTCAATGCCTTCAAATACTTTGGAGAGAGCAAGAGGGAAATACTTGCCATCTATCCCTTCACCGCGATATCACCTTCAACGACTATGCATGATGTCGTTTGTTCACTTGCACTCGACAAAAAGACTTCCTTGATTCTTGTCCCTTTCCACCAAAGATTTCACTCCAACGGTGTGCTGTCGTTGTCCCAATATAAAACGAAAATGGTTAACCATCATATCCTCGAGAACGCACCATGCTCTGTCGCCCTTGTTGTCGAACGTGGAATTTTAAAGACCCCAAAGTCTATTGCAACCAATTTCCATCCTTTCCAAATAGTTATGGTATTCATCGGTGGACCAGATGACCGTGAAGCAATGTTCATCGGGGCAAGAATGGTTGGACATCCTAATATAAACTTAACATTTATTCGACTGCAAGAGAGCGGGAATGTTCCGAGTAGTGATGTTAAAGAAAGGAGGCTTGACAATGAGTCAGTGAATGAGTTCCGACAAAGTATAGCAGACAACAATAGAGTTAAGTATATAGAAGAGGTGGTGAAGGATGGCATTGGAACAATCTCTATACTCCGTTCCTTGGGGGGTGATTTCGATCTCGTAATAGTCGGAAGACAACATAACCCATGTTTAGCACTGGTTCAAGGCTTGGTGCTTTGGAATGAACAAACCGAACTCGGGGCAATTGGAGAGGTGTTAGCATCTTCAGATTTCATAGGCAATGCCACGATCTTGGTCGTGCAGCAACACAGAAGAGTCATTAATGAAGACGAAGAGCTTAATCAAGAAGACATCATTCCCATGGATAATACCAAGAAGAGAATGATGCAAAATAGTTATCCTTCCAAAATTAGTTATGAGTTTTGATTCTCCTCCTCTTTTAGCTTCTCAACACTGTAAATTCTCAGCTAAAATCATATCCACCTGTTAAGAACATCATCTTTAGTTGATCGATCCGACTTTCAGTGATGAACTTAGGATAGTTTTTCATGCTTGTTCTTTAAAACTTTGTTCATATAATGATATTGATATTGTTCGTCATAGCAAAATTAGCTTGTGTTTTAGCTAGAAATGAATAGTTGATAGCCTCTGATCTGCTGCATTTATCAGTTGAAAAGCTTGCATGATATCAAGTTCTATGTATGTTTTCTATGTAAGTCATTAATTAAGATGAACAGATCACGGCCTATATATTGATAAATCATAATCATAGCAATGATTCATCTGAACAATTTCCAGCTAAGCTAAATTCAATGCATGGATGACAACAAGGATGTTAGCCTAAGCAGAACACATAATGAAAGATTAAGCTTTTAATGGCAATAAACAACAAGATTTCCTTAAAATCATCAAACTTCTTCTGTACCTATGGCAACAAAATGGACACTGAGTTCCTGCTTTAGCCCTGCCTCTTTCCCTGCAGAATCTTATAGAATGATTAGAAACTTCATTACCTGAATTGAGACTATTTTCAAGTCCTAAAGAGAAAGGCAACAATAACTCCGAGCTCTTAGGCAGCATTCATCGAGAAACCCCGACCTCGGCTTGTTTGCCAGACATTTTGATCTTATAATACGACATGCTCGTTTAGGTCATATCTTAGGTTTTTTCAAGCATATGCAAATGGACGATGTGTGGAAACATAGATAGTAGGAGAAGAACGAAGTAAATACACGTCGAACGATGAGAACGACTTCCTGACCTGACTACTAGAGAACTAAAGACCAAACCCATGTAAAGCTTCTAAAAACTTGCATATGAGAAATTAGAGGCAGCTCCAAAACTTCCTGTTCTAATCAGCATAAGATAATCCCATGGGAAAACTCGATCATATTCCGCCTCAAACAAGCATACGAGCTCTTGAAACGAGCGTATTCTATGGCAAATATCAGAAAACCATGCGATAAAGAAGCAGATAGATCATAAGTGCTTGAATTAGACCTGGAGATATCTGTCTCAATGTACAATCTAAAGCTAAAGCTACAAAGTGATACAGACGCCTTTCGAGTTAACGAAAAGGCGACAATTCAAAGACTAACGAATGCATTAGATGCTTACCTAGCCCGACGATCACCAGTAAGTAAACATCCTAAATCGTTCCTCCGACAGTAAGCGAAAGATTCGGAACTCAAAACAGACTAAAAGCTCCTTTGAATATGCAGAATACTGAAAACTTAAAGGACTGGAAAAAATTGTATCTCAAACTTCACAAACCAATTGTTCATCATTCCAACAAGAACTAGAGAAGAACTGAACAAGTAAAGTTGCCTTACAATATGATCAACACACCTTTTGAATAGAGAAACAAACAGAAAAAATGAAGTTAAGCTCAAGCCAAGCTGCTTTCAGTTGTATACACTCACACCTGCAAAACCCAAAAATCAAACAACAATCAATAAACCTCCATGTTCTACAACATCCAAAGTTTTCAAAAGCTTTCAAAGAATCAAGAACTAACCTGGGATGTGAAGAAGCGTTTGAATGATAGCAATTCACAAGGGGGGTGCAAACCAAATAAAGATCCCTATAGAGTTCCTCTTCTGCTAGGTATCTCTTTTTTTTTTGTTCTTATGAAATTATACAATACAATACAAAGACCCATTTAGAAAAGAAAGGAAAAACAAAAAGTAACAAGAAAAAAAACCCCCTTATAGCCATTAGTCATCCTTTCTCTCAAAAGAAAATGCTTGTTCATCCATTTTTCTAGCCTGAATCTTGAGAATCATCCTTGGCAGGAGGTTGTTGTTGTTGTTGCTGCTGCTGGTGTTGATGATGATGCTGATGAACTCTAGCTTGACCCATCTGTTGGTAAATCTGGTTCAGTGTTTGAGGATTTATGACCCCAATATGGCCATCTTGGGACAATCCAAGCTCCAAACCAGGTAATTGTTGGGCGTTTCCACCTAAAATGGAGGTGAAACTCATAGGACCCATGTTGGTGGAGGTTAAGTCAAAGGGAGGGAACCCAAGTTTGTGAAAGTAATTTGAAGTTTCATTAGCTAAATTAGTGGCTGATTGAGCAGCAGCAGCAGCAGCTGCTGCTGTTGAAGACTGATACCCAAAGCCACTGACAGATGAAGGCCAAAGCCCTGTTGTTGCTGTGGCGGCCAAATGGGGTCGCCCCAAATTGCCCCAATTGGCCCTACTGGACCCCCCACCACCAAATTCCTCCAATTTTTGGTGCAATCCGGCCGAAAGAGAAGCCCCCTGTTGCGAAACGGAACCCGCCGCCGCTGCAAGAGCAGAAGCTGGGATTGTTCCAGTGCCAGTAACGGCGATTATCGATGGCTCCGCCTGCTGTAGCAGCCACTGAATGGTCTCGCCGTCAGATTTATGACCCAATTCTCTGGTTAATTGAAAAATCCTGGCCGCACATAGAGCTGGCATCCGGATTCTTCGCCCTCTGCCTTCCACTTTGGTATGACGGTCTTTGTTGGAGCTTCTTTTCGGTGCTAACTGTTTTTTGCCTTCTTCTTTCTCTGCCACTGCTATTTGGAAATCCTTGATTTCAGCTGGTTTGTTTTCACCCATGATTGATTGTTGTTCTTGTTCTTGTTCTTGTCGTTGTTCTTGTTGCTGTTCTTGTGGGAGCTTCAAAAACTTGGTTTCCACTTCTTGGGGTTGCTTTGTTACTGATGAGGTCTTAGGATCCATAAAAGAAGAAGAAGAAGGGCACAAAAAAAAAAAAAAAAAAAACTTTTCTTTAATTAAAAAATTTTCCCAACCCAAAAAAAAAAAAAACAAAAAACAAAAAACAAAACAAAGGGTTTTGTTGGATTGAACAATGTGAGCTGAAAAGTCCAAGCCTTTCATGGGTTTTCACTGTTTTTGGCAACAAATGACAGACAAAATCATAAAATAGTTTAAATCCCAATGTGTCCCATTTCTCATCTTGTCTTTCTCTCTCCTCATTCCTCTCTCTTACATCCTTTCTTTCCCTGTCCCGAACAGATACCACCCTATCCCCAGCCATTTACTCTTTTCTAAACGTTTTCTTCAGCTCGTCCTACCTTCTTTTCCATCTCTTAACTCTTCGTTTTTTATATATAAAACCGTCCCGAACAGATACTTCAATCGCACTAGAAATTCTCTTTCCTTACCATTTCCGAGACCTCCTTCATCACTTTCTGCAATTACTACCCCTCTCTTCCTTCTCTCTCTCATTATCTTCAAAGTGACTCCACTGTACACGTGGAGACAGGAGATTCTGCCACTTGGCCAACCATGATTGGCTTCTGAGCTTGCTTCAATCCCACTCCTTACTCCATCCATTGTCAATGTTTTATATACGAGACATTTATTAGATAAATTAAATTAATAATTATTTTACTTTATTGCCCTTTTTGTTACATGGAAATTAGAGAAATAAAGATCCTCTCTACATGGTCTATGTGGGACCCTTTTCCCCTTTGTTCAAATGAAAGCAAATTTAACTTTTTAATAAAATAAAATAAATAATAATAATAATAATGTGGATACCTACCCCACCTCAACAAATTTTATTATTATTATTATTATTATTATTATTTAAAAATAACCAAAATAAATAAATAAATAAAAGTGGATACCCCATTAATTTTTGAAGCCTTGATGTCAAAGAAAAATAACATTAATAATGAACTATCCTAACTTTGAGGGGAATATATTATTATTATATATTTGGATTAGAGGTAGTCCATGTAACACCATAATTAGAAGCATATCTTATTTTAATTTCTTTTTTATTATATTTATATTCTAAACTATATGTATACAAATATTCTCCCATTAGGCACCTAGTCTTTAATTAATTTTTTTTTTTTTTTTTAGGGTTTTGATTTTAGTGATATTATATCGAAATGATGACTCTAGCATGAATCTTTGTAATGTTATTTCTTTTTTATTTGTTATCTAATAACTCGACTTACTCAAACTACCTAACCCAAATCATAAAAGTTGGATTAGGTTGAATTTTTAAAAAATTGAAATTTTGGGTCGGTTAGCAAGTTGACTTTTTTTTTCTGTTGGGTCAACCCGACCAACTCGAAAATAGGTTTATAACCCAACTCAACTCTACCTTATTTTAAGATTATTATGAAAATTAAGAATATTTGACGGTTGTAAACGATGTTAATGATATGTTTGATATTTCAGTTTTATAACATTTTAGTTATTAAGGTAACATGTATCGTAGATGAATAAAATTTTTTAAAATAATTATAAAAACGGACAACCTGGGTTGAGTTTGATTATGAATTCTATTCGGGTTGCTTGGGTTATCAACCCAACCGACCTGAAATTTTGAGTTGGTAGACGATTTGGCCCATTACATGATTATTAACCTCATGATTTTAAAATTCATTTACTTCAGAAAAGTTTCTACACTTTTATAAATAATATTTTGTCTCTCTCCCATGAGGTTGTTTTTTTTTTTCCTAAAATTGAGGCTGTTCTTTTCATTCATGCCTGTTTGGTCCTAGGCAGATGCAGGGATCTTTGTCTCTGTACCTTAGCCTTCACAAAGTACAAATGGGAATATATTTATGTCAGATTTTGTGGTTATCAGTGTTCCCATGCATGCATCAATATTTGTATTACACCCAAAAACAAACCTACATACCTATAAATACCGATCAAATTTGGTATTTGATTTGATTCTCGAACTTTCAAACGAGATATATTTAGTCCTTAAAATTTTAAAAATGGGTTCACGTACTCACTCGAGGACTAGAGAAAATTTTATCATCATTCTTCCAACGAGCTTATTCATTCGTTTTATGCTGCAATGGTCATGAACGACGAAGACATCGACTAAGATATCCAACAATCAAATGAGCTCGTTGACTATTTTAAACTGTTTTCTCATGAATTTCGTAAACTAAGATGACATGTCAATTAAAATAATATTGCAAAACTCGATCTAAATTGAAACGGCTAAAAGTATAAAGAATCATACAATATACATATATATATATATATATATATATATAATTTATCAATTTTAGCATATTTTCAATCACTTTAGTAGTTGGACTAAAAAAATTTTAATATTTACAAAATTCAAAAATTAAAAATAAAGCGTCTAAATTTTAGAAATATTGTTTTTTAAAATTATTATTATTATTCTTTTTTCCCTCTTTTGTTGCGAAAATCACTCCACTAAATGAGAAATTCAAATAAAGAAAAATCAACAATGAATTTGACTTTTCAATTTATTTATTTTTTTCCTTTTTCATTGGATAATTATTTATGTCCATTTAGTCATCCATAAGTTTTTAATCTTTATTTATTTATTTATTTATTTATTAAAATTTCATTAGGGGTTGACTAAAGTTTCAAATAGAGAATAATTAGTTTTTTTTTTTAATTTTTAATTAAATCAAAAAGAAAAAATAAAAATAACTATGTCAGATAAATTCATGTCACATCGAAATATTTGAATAACAATATTAAGATACAGGACTATATTGTCACATATCTTTTTAATTAAAATATATATTCTATAATCATTTTAATATTGAAAAATGTTCGGTGAAATAAAATAGATTGAAAAATATCTTTATTTTATTTAGCAAATTTAGTTTAATTTATGAGTTAATCAATATAAAGGTAGCTTTATATGGTTTGAAGAAGATGAACAAGATATGATTTTGTTTTTCTTTTTGTGATGAAAAAACAATGGAAAATAAGGTATGTGTTTGTTGGTGATTGAGTTACTTGTCACATGTGCATCCCATCATGGAGACCAAGTAGGTCCCTTTTATATATATATATATATATATACACACCATTTTCTCTCCCCCTTTACATCTTGGAACACACCGTTCTTATACAGAGAGAGCCATTTTCTGTCACGGTCCTACTTTTTCAATCGTGTGGCATTATGATCTTGACATGCTCACGACCAGCTTTAATGAAAATTAAACCCCATATTTTTCGCCCCGCCCTTGTGGCTTCATTAGACTTTAGGCGAGGTTTGTCTTTGTCAATTGAACATCCTTGTGCGGAATCCAAGCTTGTTTGACCACACACGCTGCCTACGCGCATGCATGTTCAATTGTCTGCGACACAACCAATTTACCTCTACACTAGACCAAGTCATTTGACTCGACCTTGCCTCCGAGAGGGAGTCTCACATTGGCTAATTTAATGGAAGATCATGGGTTTATAAGTGAGGAATACTGTTTCCATTG